TATGAGGTTCTTTTACGTGCCGTAAAGCTACGACACGGGACCCACGGCTTAAAGTCCCTCCCGGAGGACTTGTTCCCTGAATTTTTCCGCCCTTAAAAATTTGACGACCTCCGCCGGGTATTTGAACCCGCGTACTACGAGTACTACTAGACTACGGAGGCCGCTAGGTATGGAGGGTAACTGTGAATATATTGAATAAAATGGATCGGACAACCAACAAGGGGTTTTACTTAAGCTTGGGGCCTAGGCCTGGCATTAACAAGTCCTCAGCTTAAAATATAATTCTCTTACGAAATATCACAAAAGGCCTCGGAGGATTGGCTCAGGACTGGAACCATAAATATGACTGAAGTTATTAGCGAATTATTTTCAGTTGGTGCAGACAATTCCCGAATGGAACTCTAAATTAGTGCATGGCTGCTTCCTCTCACTCAATATTTGCTGTCATTCAGTCATCCGGCGTTGTATAGTCTGCGTTACTGACAGCGTGGTTACACAATGTACAGTGTGTTTCGAAGGTCACTGTACGCTTGTAAAAGGTGTTGGAAGTGATGTCCACAAGCGTTTATACGGGCCTGAACTCGTTTAATTTTGTAAGTTTTGAGGTTTTCACGGCGATGACTATGAAGAAAGTCGTCTTCTGGGTTTTGGCGTCGTGTATTCTGTTGTGATGTTCGCAACCCCTTTTAATTTTAGGAACTTGAGTCTGATGTCTTGGGTCATGCCCTCTACTAATTTTACAGCACGTCAAGAGGTTGACCTGCTTCCTCAAAGAAAAAATGTTATTATCTACCCTTGCCATTCCATAAATTAGTGGGGTCCTGGAGTGTTTCGTCTGGAACCTATCCTTCAACAGCAGCTGGTGTAATCTGATCTGCGTGAGGGTTCATGTCTCGGGACATTGGTCTGCAAGTTTAGTTTTAGATAGGTTTTAAGAAACAGAGGGAAGTTGAAGGGTGCATTTTTGTCTGGGTTGGGGCTACGAGAAGGCTGGCCAGGCTTACGTCCACCAGCGCTTGTATGTAATATACACTAAGAATCAATAAATCCTCTATTATCTGTAGTGAGTATTTGCTCTTTGTGGTTGGAATACCCGCTCCAGCAGCCAACTGACCATCACCATCACTGAATTATTACGCTACCGCTCGGCCAACATAATTCAGTCGACCCGCCACCATCTTGGGTCACGACAATTCTTCAATACACGGCGCCAAAACCCAGAAGACGACTTTCTTCATCGTTTAATTTTATTCGCAAACACTTTCTGCAGATCTACTTGTGAGATGTTTCTTATGTATGCAGTTACTGCGGTTTTAAAATCATTAAGTGTGCGCGAGCGATCATGATACACTGCAGATTTTACTGTTCTGGTGGAGTAAGATCAGGCGAGCAAGGTGGCCATAAGTTTGTAGAGATGACACGATCTCCAAAAATATCATTCTGAAATGTCATAGAGTTGTTAGCTGTGTGTGCAATAGCACCATCTTGTTGAAACAGGGCAGGCTATTTCGTCTTCCTCAAGCAGAACATCGAACAGTAACGTTCAATGTTCAGTGTTTCTTCAAGAGTTTCAGTTGTTTTCGGACCGCTTTTGCAAGCCCGAGCAATGATTTTAATAGACTATGCAGGACAGAGCCAGAAATGTCCAATTTCTCATTGTTAAATTTAGACGGTCTCCCACTTTGTTCGGCCTCTAATACTGAGCACGTTGCAAGAAATGTCTCAATAAGGCTAGGAACTTCACTGCGATGAATACAGGTGTTTGAGAATTTGTCAAGAAATTGCTCCTGTGCTAAATCGGTGTATCTGTTCCTTCTCGAAAGACGTCTTCAACAAGAAACACACGCTCCTCAGTTGAAAGAACCATAGTGAGTAAAAACTGAATTAAACAGTTAAACGCTTCACCAATGTTGCACGTCAACCGCTGTTCAACAACTGAATACTCGTACGGTGAAATGTCACATAATAATAGAACACTTCAGCAGCAACTTCGGTACTGACAACCAATCGCGTAACCACTACGCTGCAGCGTACTAAGTGCACAAAGACTTTTTGAACGCATTGAACGCCACAGTACGGCGGTTGAGTCTTCGGCATAGCATCTGAACGGTTCCAGGTTCAAATTTATGTTGCAAGATGGGCAATATTGGCTGTGTGTGTATGTGTGTTTGAGCAGGGTCTTTTAGGTTCCTGTCGATATTCAGGTTGTGTAAAGTCGATTTGTAGGATGGCTGATGAATGATTAACTTCAGGGTATTTAGCACAGTCATGGTCTTATCTGGACACTCTCCTGGAATATGTGGAGAGATTCGAGACGATCACCTTCCAAATTCGAGCCTACAGCCTCAGCGCTTTAACCATCCTGCTTTATATATCATAGAGCAAACCCTCGCTAATCCGGTTAGAGTTAATCTGGATGTAGGATAAACCGGATTTATATATGAAAAATCAGAGATTCTGTTCACATTTCAGTATAT